TAGTCCCAGAGGCCAGTATTCTTGGGGGGAAAAAAACTAATAACATTCAGGATGCCTTCCCAATAAAAGCTGAAGTTATCTAACATATTATGTGTACACAGTGACCCCAGGCTTAAGACAAACAAGAAACTTAATAGCTATGGCATTTACCACCTCTGCAACAATCCAGGTCCAACTCCCTCTTGGAATTAACACACCATCAGCATGATCTCCACTTTAACACAGAGTGATGTTAATTGTTGTAATTTACATCTGACAGTCGGGATTATCCCCAAGGAGTTCAGTGTGGAGTCAGCGTCTCAAAAGGATTGATGGCCACTGAAGCAATGGCATTATTAATGGCCACTAAAGCAATGGTATTATTAAATTTAAAGGGGGGAAAAAAGCAGCAGCAGCCAGTGTTTTACTAGCAGTCATTTAAACTAGAAAAAAAGCAGCATTGAAACTCCCCTCCCCACTTCATCAGACAATAACATTTTTGACAAACTGTTGGTTCCAGGTTTCAGAGTAGCAGCCTTGTTAGTCTGTATTTGCAAAAAGAAAAGGAGTACTTGTGGCACCTTAGAGACTAACCAATTTATTTGAGCATAAGCTTTTGGCACGAAAGCTTATGCTCAAATAAATTGGTTAGTCTCTAAGGTGCCACTAGTAATCCTTTTCTTTTTGTTGGTTCCAGTTTCCTTCTAAGGCATCATCTAAAATGCTATACAGCCAGCCCAGTATATTTATGTCAGCCTGTAAAGGCAAATACAGCTCCAGTACAGGATTAACTATATTTTGGTGAGAAAGAGTGATCCTGAGTTAGCTGAGGATTTGAAAATCAATTTACTCCTTCACTTGAACACAGATTTGACTCCTTTTTCGTCAGCCTGAGAGTGACAGGAGTATATATTCATGAACCAATCAAAAGATTATTTTGCATACTGTTGTTTTCATTTTGTTTATAAAGTAAACGTTCAAAGTCTGGAATAAAAGGAATTTGTGAGCATCCGTATTTTTATATATGTGAGGCAACACTGGTTTTGCTGAGACAAGATTGTATAGCTATTGGGCCAGATCCTCAGCTAGTATAAACAGCCATAGTTCCATTGAAGTCAGTGGAACCACAGAGATTTTTTACCAGTTGAGGATCTGATCTCAGGGGGAGGGGATGGGGGAATAAGACTTCTGTAACTTCTGTCACTCACACTTGCAATCTGTTCATGATCAAAATATTACTCAGAGATATTTTGATGTAGACAGGATTGATGAAGTCCCCTCTGGTGTATTCAAACATTACAATTGCCTTATAGTATATATAAGCAGGGCACCCATGATAACCAGTAATTTCACCATTTGGCTAAGTGTTGCAATTTTGTTGCACTGTGTTCATGGTGAGAAACATGTTTATATGAGGTGTTTTTTTAAACAAAACACTATGGGTCAGATGGTTTGGAATTTTTTAATGGAACAGTTTTCGATCAGAAAATGCCCATTTGTCAAAACCAAAACATTTTGAGGAACTGTATCAGTTTTGATGAAAATCGCTCAGCTCAAGGATGGAATTTCTGGTCAAAACCAGAGTGAGTGAGACCCCTGCAGCCACCCACCTCAGTAGCCTGGCGGTTGCAGCACTTGTCTTACATGCAGGAGCCAGCTCTGCCTGCTTCAGAGCAGGGATTTGAATGTAGGCTCCTACTTCCTAAGTTCTGTTATCCACTGGGATAGTGGCTCCTCCAGGGGAAGGGTCTTTCTTGTTCAATCTTTATGAACATTTTCAAAAAGTCTCAGGTTTGTTCTGATGTGGAATGTAAACATTTCAAAACCTCACCAAGTTTCAAGAAACAGAATTCTTGTTGTCCAACTAGCCCATTAACTTAAATAGTAACAGATCCATGACTAAGATTTCAATATACAGATGATAAAATAATTCTTACTTTAGTTTATATTTTTAAACATTGCTACAAACAAAAAACCCAGTAATAATCATTTTATGTACTGTGTAACACACCAAGTTTAATTTCTATATTATATAACACAAACTTATTATATAAAATTATTTTATATGATGTCTCCAGTAAAGTTTTATAAAAGTGCAGGAATATGTAATCAGGAAGAAGGCTGGAGGCTCTTTTTATCTACCAGTTAGACCATTTTTCAGATGATTATTTTCAGAAAACAGGATATTTGTTCATAGCAGAAACAGACTCTTTCTTCTCAGCAAATAATACTGTCTCCCATAAATGTAAAGACAAAATGAAAAGAGCACAGATAAAGAAAGAAAAAAAAAAAACCCTGTTGAGGTTAGGGTTCCCTGTGCTAGGCATGGTATCTCCACATAGCAAGACACAGTTTTGGCCCTGAGCAGCTTGCAATATAAATCCCTGATGCATGTGTTTAACTTTAAGAATAAAGTTAGCCTCATTGAATGAATGAATGATGGGGATCTACTGTAGATTTTTATATTGCTATTGTGACACTTTGGTTATATGTCTCTGTCAAACTGTAAATTCCATTTTGTTTTGTGAATGCCATTTGTGATTGTTGCCTTCATTGTGGATCAGTGCATCCATTTTGTAGCAAGGCTTGACACCTAGTGGACAGTCTATATCTGAGAATCTGCAACAGAGCAATCAAGGGCCATCAATATATAATTACGTTTCCCTACTAGAACAGTGGGTGGGTGAGATTCTGTGGCCTGCAATGTGCAGAAGGGCAGACTAGATGATCTCTATGGTACCTTATGAACTTAAAGCGTATGAGTCTATGAGTCAATGGCTTTTCTGCCCATAGGGCCGATGACTGAATGATTCTCTACACAGAAGCTGATGGGGGAGGAGGTGAAGCGTGGACTTGCTGCACATTGGGAAATGGAGGACAGATCTGTTTTTTTTTTAAAAAGTACTTCTCTAAGCAAGGGAGGGTGACCAATGCCAGAAGATTAGACCATGCAGGCTGGAAGAAATGCCTGTCTTAAGGACTTGGACCAAACACAGCACTCACAGAGCTGGTGAGATCAAACCAGGGGGGAATTGCGTTCCAGAGTCTGTTGTTTTCCACAGATCTATAATTGTCTTGTGCTTTCTAAGAGTAAAGTGCATGTGTGTGTGTGTGTTTGTATGTGTGTATGTGGGAGTATAAGAAATTTGCTAGGCCTGTGTGTCTAGCTTTAGTGCCACATTGTCCCTGAATGGTGTAAGTAGGAAGTCAGAGCTCCCACAGCCTGGTGGACTGGGGGGAGGAGGGCTGAGACACTGGTTCCAGGGTGCAAGGGCATGGATGACAGGGTCCCACTGCCCCAAAAGAGGGTCAGATATGCAGTCTGCACATGGGGGATTTCCTGGGAAACCCAGAGCCAGGAACAGTCACTACTCAGACCCTGGGGTTTTAGAAGCATGTGGGATCTAGAGAAGGGAGGCAGTCACAATAGACTGAGATCCATCCAGAGAATGGGGTTGGTCCAGGTTGTGACAGACTCTCTAATATTAATTTGTATATTGGTATCATATTAATCCCTGGTACCATACTGCCTATTAGAAGGTGCATCTAGGCATACATATGGGTGTCAGTTTAACACTACTTTATTTTCAGAGCAGCAGTAGCTAGTTAAGCTCTTTCACCCTACACTTGCTCTGGACTGACTACAGACAACACAAAGATTCTCCGGTTACATGCTGGACTTAAAGTGACACACCATTACACTCCTCTGAATACTCCCAGCAAGAGGGCCAATTAATGCTATTTATGTGGATAGTTTTGTAATGTGAAGTCTCTCCATTGGAAACTAAATTGAAACTGCTAATTGTACACAAGTTATCAAAGAAGGCTCAGCTGGTAACAACTTCTGGCCATTAGTACTAAACTAGGCTATATTTTAAATGGGAATGTAGAGATAACAGGTTCCATCCCATTGTCAATTGTCTTTCATGTGCAATTAAAAAAATACAATGATTTAAAAAATAAATTTCTGGTCTGTTTGGAAATGAAAGTTGCCCTCAAGCTATAAAACTTGTCCCTAGCTTTATAAAAATATCATTTAATAATCTGCTGACTGGAATCAACCAGTGCATACAATCAGCATCCTGATGGGAGATTTACAAAAGCAGTTACTAGACGTGTCTAAATTTTATCATACAAATTAATAGAGAGCTGGTAAAGAAATTTAAACTCACCTCATGATGCCCAAGTATAATGTGATGTAAGAGAAGAGTCATTTTCCACACGGTCTGTGCTATAGGGTATGTTTTCTTCAAAATGACAGCCAGTCCAAAGTCCACTGACATCAATAGAAAGATTCCTGTTGATTTTAGTTAGCTCTGGAGCAGGTCCCTAATTCCCACAATCACCAAATGGACTTGGTGTATTGTCACCGGGTCCAATCACTGCTAGGGGCTGCTCTGGGGATGAGCTCTTTCCAGACGTTGCATCTTCCTCTAGCGGTCTCTCCACCCATCTCTGCAACTCCAGGTGCTTCTTGTTCATGACATGATCCTCCAGCAAGTCTTCCACTATGAACTGTCCCAGACTGTCCACTCTCTGCCACTTTATCAGTGCCTGGTAGAGGAATCCGAGCCCACCCTCTACTCTAGGTTCCAGCTTAGGGGCGCTCTCATCAGCAGCCAAGGTCTGCACTGTCCTATCCCTTGTTGCTTTTCCCCTGGGCCTTGTCTACCTTTCTGGCTGCCACAGGTTTGCCAGTCCAAACTCCCTCCACCCAGGGAGTAACTGTAGGCTGTTCTCTATAGCCCCAAACACACCTCCCTTCTCCCAGGGAGTGACTGAAGGCTACTTGCCTGCAGCCCCATTCTGCTCTCAGCTCCTGTTCCTGTCCAGATGAGACTCATTTGGTCAATCCCTTCTCCCTAGCTTCTCCTCCAGGTGCAGCCTGGGGAGTTAACTGGACACCCCATCAGATGTACATAAAATGGAGCATGTGCACCTGTGGGTGTAATAAAACAATATGTAGGCACAATCAAATGCTCATGATTAAGAGCTAAATTATCCTCTTTGATCCACAACAGGTCTTTTGATTCCTCTTCACACATTTGTAGACGGACTCCACCCCCCCACCCACGCCAACCCACTGATGTGCAAAACTCCGATTGATGTCAATGGAGGATCTACCCGTGTATGAAAAGTGGAATATGGTAACAGTGCAACTTTATTTGTGCACCTTAATTTATAGAGGCTGTGTCCAAAAGCCCTTAACAGAGTACATAGCATTACACAGAAAACTAATGCATTCCAGCAGAGGGAGAGAGAAATTCATGACTACGGGCAAAAGAGAAAGGTGAGACTAGAAATGAGATGGAGTCAGTCTGCTGACTGAGGGCTTGTCTATATGTAAAGCACCGTAGCGCGTCTGGTGAAGGTACTCTATGCCAATGGCAGAGAGTTCTCCAGTCGACATAATAAAACCACCTTCGTGAGTGGTAGAAACTATGTCAGCAAGAGAAACACTCCTGCCTACATAGCTCTGTGCACACCGGTGCTTATGTCAGTGTAACTTAGGTCTCTCACGGGGTGGTTTATTGACACCTCTGAGAGACATAAGTTATGTCAACATAAGCTGTAGTGGAGCCTAAGTTAGCTTTCCTCTGTGGTGACAAAGTTCCGGTCAGGCAGAGATACAGGAAGGCTACTCCAGTGGGAAGGCATTCCAGTGGAAAAAGCCCTCTCAAGTAAAGGTCTGATCCCCATTGACTGGTCTGGACCCCAAAGGTCTGGGCCCCATTGACTGGTCTGGATCCCATCAGTGCCAATATTGTAGGAAAAGGTGAGGCAGAAGTAGATGGGTGGAGGGAGTGGAGGCAGTAGCAAAGAAAGAAAGTTAATGTGATTAGCTTCAGTAAACTGTCAAAGGTAAAACAATCCAAAGGCATTCTGAACAGCATCCTGAAATAAATGGGGAGCATTTATAATAAATTTGTTGTGGAGGTGTTTGAGAATAGGGTGCTATGGATGCACTTCTAAGTACATATAAAATAGCTTTAAAATGTATTTTCCTTTAGTGGTTGCATTAAAGGCATTTAAAATTATTTTCTTGTTCTCAAAAGAGAAATTAAAAAATACATTGTTACTGGAATTGTGTGAGATCCTTACAAGCCATTAGAATACTCCCAAATTATTTGCACAAGGCATCTCTATTATCCATGGATCACTGACATGATAGAACATAATGGCATCCAAAAGAGCCCTTGAAGACTATTATATTATGTGAATGAGCAGTTGAGACGCCCTCAAATTTCTGAAGCCTCAGTTTATCGAATGAGTCAGTGGAGAAACAGCCACTAAAGACAGCAATATTTCCATATGATGGACCTAGTTGGCACTGTATCAATGTGTCATCTTGTGCTGTACTTGGAAGGTCTTTTAATCATGGCTAGATGCATGCAGAATAATTCTGCCTATCATAACATTCTCTCTCTATACATATGATGGCAATACAAAAATATTTCTGCAATCAGAAGTTTCTATCTATGCATTTTCATATAAATTAAACCTCTCAAACTACAGAGAACTGTAATGATGGAACCTTAAGTGTTGATGCTTCTGTTGGCAATTACTAAAAATATTCCAGCATTTTAAGTCCTCAAGGGAATGGATAGTTCACAACTAGCCCAAGTTTGCAAGAGTGAGTCCCGTAAGGATGGACTCAATGCAGGAGTAACCAGTGAAATTCTATGGCCTGTGGTATACAGGAAATCAGACTGAATGATCTAATGAAGTGATACTCAGACCTCAGTGGTTCAGGAGCCAAATTAGCGATCAACATTACCCAAAGAACCACAGTAGTGTGAATTCATTTTTCATTTATTATAGTACTGTATATTCATATTTAAACAGTATGACGGGAAATATTTAGTGTGTGTATATAAATAAAAAGCTTGGTTAATTGGTTAATAACTTAGATTGGTGAATAATTAAATCTCACAGTGTTTTAATATCATGTGCTGCAGAGAGCAGCAGGGGACACATTAAAGAGCCACTTGCAGCTTGTGAGCCACAGTCTGACTATCACTGATCAAATGGTTCCAACTGGTCGTAAAATCTGTGAATTTATAAAACCCCATGTCATAAATATAAAGGGAAGGGTAAACACCTTTAAATTCCACCTGGCCAGAGGAAAAACCCTTTCACCTGTAAAGGGTTAAGAAGCTAGGATAACCTTGCTGGCACCTGACCCAAAATGACCAATGAGGAGACAAGATACTTTCAAAGCTGGGGGGGAAGAAACAAAGGTTCTCTCTGTCTGTGTGTTGCTTTTGCTGGGACCAGAGCAGGAATGCAGGTCAGAACTCCTGTAAAGGGCTAATAAGCAATCTAGTTAGATATGTGTTAGATTCTGTTTTGTTTAAATGGCTGATAAAATAAGTTGTGCTGAATGGAATGTATATTCCTGTTTTTGTGTCTTTTTGTAACTTAAGATTTTGCCTGGAGGGATTCTCTATGTTTTGAATCTGATTACCCTGTAAGGTATTTACCATCCTGATTTTACAGAGGTGATTCTTTTACGTTTTCTTCACTTAAAATTCTTCTTTTAAGAACCTGATTGCTTTTTCATTGTTCTTAAGATCCAAGGGTTTGGGTCTGTGTTCACCTGTGCAAATTGGTGAGGATTTTTATCAAGCCTTCCTCAGGAAAGGGGGTGTAGGGTTTGGGGAGGATTTTGGGGGGAAAGACATTTCCAAGCGGGCTCTTTCCCTGTTATATATTTGTTAGACCCTTGGTGGTGGCAGCAATAAAGTCCAGGGGCAAAAGGTAAAATAGTTTGTACCTTGGGGAAGTTTTAACCTAAGCTGGTAAAAATAAGCTTAGGGGGTTTTTCATGCAGGTCCCCACATCTGTACCCTAGACCTCAGAGTGGCGAAGGAACCTTGACACCCCACATCTGGATTCTCCAAGGGGTGTGTAGAGTAAGCATTTAAAAAGTTAATTACATTTCTAGAGCTACTACTAATGGTAGCGATACCCTTATTTTGAAGTTCTAGAATATCTCTGAGTACTGTCATCAATGGAATGAACTTTGTATGTGCACCGAGTGTAGACACTTACAATTTTTTTGAACTGTGAAGTGTCAGCATTTGAAAACTGGGCTTCTCATATGGGGCCTGATCCTAGGTCCAGTGGTCAATGGGAATCTTTCCATTGTCTTCAGTGGACTTTGGTTAAGGCCCCATGGTCTACAGTGTTGTCTTGAAATGAAAATAAACCACTGGACATCTGGTGCTCGCTGAAAGTGTGACTTTGCATTATATACAACTGTTTTGTGTACCTTAGTTTATTCATCTATAAAATATTACTCACGAAGATGAAAATATGTTGTGAAACATTAATTAATTAATGTAAGTAACATGCTTTGATGAGAGGTACTATATATAATACACACTTTGAACTTTCTGTAATTATTATTGCTTTGATTCCTCAATCTTTTAATATTGCAGTCAAAGTATGAATGTACCAGACAGACGGGGCACTGTTAAATCAGCTGAAGAAATCGGATTGATTGTCAAGTCAGCACATATTTTGTTACTTGTCAGTTCACACAGAATGCAATACTTATACAGCAACCTCTTTCTACTGGGAAACCAGCTATTGGAATTCAATCAGAAAAAATGTGATTTTGCTTAGTAACGTTATATTATTTGTGTTTGTCTCCCTGTTAGCAGTTTTATTATAGGAAAATAGTGTCAAATGGATTAAATGCAGAGTGCCTGAATTAATCCAATTTCAGCTCCATCCACCAGATTCCATGGTCCTTCTCTTCTTCACCTCCTAAATGAACTGTTATTCCCTGCTCCCATCAGCAGAATAGAATCCTGTATCTTCTTGTTTCTATCCTCCCTGGTTAGACTATATTTTTCACTTACTTATTGTATTTCAGGCCCTCTCAGGAGGTGAGGCCCAGATAACAGCCAGTATGTAGGCTTTATTTAAGGGCTTGGTTTTGTTTTGCACAGACCTATCACTCAGCTCCTCCTGCCTTCTGGATTTTTTGGTGCCTTCAAATCACTGAAATTTACAAGGCTCACACTGTCCCAGAATGTAACAGGAAAGGGAGATGATAATGTATGACAAAACGCAACTGCAAAGACAGTCATTGTTATGGATTTTTCGTTGGCAGGTGGTGCAGTGTTTTAGTCCTTGGCTATATTGGTGGCAGTTTTGCACACTTTGGGGATTTTATCTTGATTCCCACAATATTTGGTGTTTATTGTACAGCCCCAGGTCCTGGGGTCTCATTGTTACCAGAGAATCTCAGTTTTCATTTAAAACAAGTACATTTCTAGCTCTCATCATTGTGGAGTAAAACATAAAAAATTTGATTGTAAAGGGTTGGAATCCAAAAGGCAAATTAAAAGGAGCCCAACAGTTGTTTATTTTTAAAAAAATAATAGAATAATGTATTGGTCCAGACTCATGATTTTTGAACATGTGTGTTAAATTTTTAGCATTTGTACCTTTATTATGTCTTCTCTAATGTACTCCAATTAATATCGATGAAGATATATATTATATATGATGCTGGTAGCAATGCCTAATACTCCCCATTATAGTACCTTGTTTTCAGTTGCTTATAACTTCAGCAAACTTGAAGTGTTTGTGCTGAAATTTTACATGCCAGGTTCTGCCTAATGATGACATTTTTGATTTTGGTTTTGGGTTGCTGTTTTGTTTTTGTTTTTTTTTAATTTCTGCCAAAATAGTTCAACCATTTCCAAGACAGAGGCTAGGGGGAAATGCCAAATTTCAAATTCCTGCGTGAAAATATAGGGCTGCTAAAGCTTCCAATGGAAAATGTCACTTTACATCAGGAATTGTGCCTTTTGCCATCCTGTGAAATCTGTCCAAATTTGGCCAAGTTATAAGTCTTTGAAAAATGAATTTGCACATGCTCACTAGACACTTCCTAGATCCATGTAAGTAAATTCACCAAAGATTCCATGTGTACTGAACATGCTCCAACCCAGGGCTGAGCTGGACTTTCCCTGCAGTTTCAGCTCTGGGCTTCTGTGGGCCATACTGGAACTGGGCACCAGAACTGAGTACATGAGAATTTTCTACTGTGATCTCAATACCCCAACCACCCACCAGCAGGACCCAGGCAGTGTGGAGGAGGAAGCTTCCTGGTTTGAATACAGATGGG